TTGTTGCTGTGTAGCCTACCCCTATTGCGCATTGTCTGGATCGCTCACAGTCACATACATCGTGTGACGTCATGCACGGTTGGTGGCGCGATGTCAATTATTTAGCAGACGACGGGCGCGGGGAATACAAAACGCCGAATTTTTGGTTGAATTACAATTGCCTTTCCAAAAAATTTGACCTGGTATTGATTCTTTATGATTTAATTATGAATATAATTATTCATGAACATGTGGGTAGAGACTGGACCTTCCCTTTAAAGAAAAAAAAAATCATCTTCAGCAGTTAGGTGATTTTGCGCTCTAAAAGACAAAGAATCATTTGTTTTTTTTCTGCATCTGTATATAACATTTTTTTTATTTTTTTTTTAGAGTGCTTTCCGATTTTATACACATGTTCATTACACTAGTTATAACTAGGATTTTAAGAAATTAGGATTAGGGTCCCAAAGTTTGTGCTTCGTATGACAAATCGCTTACTTTTGTCTTTTAGCCATTGACTCGTATCATAAGCGAATCGTTAGCGTTTTACATATTCAGTTGAACAATTCACATCTAATGGGACACCTCCTCAGGTATGCTAACATTTCTAAATAAATTTTTCCCTCTAAAATTGACAAAGATTGAAAGATATACCGGTTCCTTCAACTGTTAGTACATATGAATATTCATAGTTACCTCTGTCAAGGAGGGTTATGTTTTTGATGGAGTCGGTTATTTTCTTCGTTGGTTAGTAGGGTAACTCAAAAAGTTATGAGCACTGGGCAGCAGCGGGCGGCACTGGCAGCAGCACTGGGCAGCGGCGGGGCACTGGGCAGCGGCGGGCGGCACTGGGCAGCGGCGGGCGGCACTGGCAGCGGCGGGCGGCACTGGGCAGCTGGGCAGCGGCGGGCGGCACTGGGCAGCGGCGGCGCACTGGGCACGGCGGGCGGCACTGGCAGCGGCGGGCGGCACTGGGCAGCGCGGGCGGCACTGGGCAGCGGCGGGCGGCACTGGGCAGCGGCGGGCGCACTGGGCAGCGGCGGGCGGCTGGGCGGCGGGCGCACTGGCAGCGGCAGGGCAGCGGCGGGCGGCACTGGGCAGCGGGCGGGCGGCACTGGGCAGCGGCGGGCGGCACTGGGCAAGCAGCGGGCGCCACTGGGCAGCGGCGGGCGGCGGGCGGCACTGGGCAGCGGCAGGCGGCACTGGGCAGCAGCGGGCGGGCGGCACTGGGCAGCAGCGGGCGGGCGGCACTGGGCAGCGGCGGGCGGCACTGGGCAGCAGCGGGTGGGCAGCAGCGGGGGGACACTGGCAGCAGCAGGCGGGCGGCACTGGGCAGCAGCGGGGGGCACTGGGCAGCAGCAGGCGGCGGCACTGGGCAGCAGCGGGGGCACTGTGGCAGCAGTAGGCGGGCGGCACTGGGCAGCAGCGGGGGGCACTGGGCAGCAGCAGGCGGGCGGCACTGGGCAGCAGCGGGGGCACTGGCAGCAGCGGGGGGCACTGGGCAGCAGCGGGCGGGCGGCACTGGCAGGCAGCGGCGGCGCACTGGGCAGCAGCGGGGGGCACTGGGCAGCAGCGAGCGGGCGGGTAGCAGGGCGGCACTGGGTAGCAGCAGGCGGCGGCCTGGGCAGCTGGCAAGCAGCGGGCGGGTGGCACTGGGCAGGGCAGCGGGGGGCACTGGGCAGCAGCGGGCGGGCGGCACTGGGCAGCAGCGGGGGGCGGCATTGGGCAGCGGGCGGGGGCACTGGGCAGCAGCAGGCGGCGGCACTGGGCAGCAGCGGGCGGGCGGCACTGGGCAGCAGCGGGCGGGCGGCACTGGGCAGCAGCGGGTGGCACTGGGCAGTAGCGGGCGGCACTGGGCAGCAGCGGGCGGGTGGGCATTGGGCGCGGTGGCACTGGGCAGCAGCAGGCGGGCACTGGGCAGCAGCGGGCGGGCGGGCACTGGGCAGCAGCGGGGCACTGGGCAGCAGCGGGCACTGGGCAGCAGCGGGGGGCACTGGGCAGCAGCAGCGGTGGCACTGGCGGGCGGGCGGCACTGGGCAGCAGAGGCGGGTGGCACTGGGCAGCAGCGGGGGGCACTGGGCAGAAGCGGGCGGCGGCACTGGGCAGCAGCGGGCGGCACTGGGCAGCAGCGGTGGTACTGGGCAGCAGCGGGCGGCACTGGGCAGCAGCGGGGCGGCAGCACGGGCACTGGGCAGCTGGGCAGCAGCGTGGCACTGGGCAGCAGCGGGTTGGCGGCACTGGGCAGCGGCGGGCGGGCGGCACTGGGCAGCAGCGGGGGGTGGCACTGGGCAGCAGCGGGTGGTACTGGGCAGCAGCGGGCGGCACTGGCAGCAGCGGGCGGCACTGGGCAGCAGCGGGGGCACTGGGCAGCAGCGGGCGGGTGGCACTGGGCAGTAGCGGGCGGCACTGGGCAGCGCGGGTTGGCGGCAGCGGCGGGGGGCGGCACTGGCAGCAGCGGCGGGTGGCACTGGGCAGCGGCGGGCGGGGCAGCAGTGGGCACTGGGCAGCAGGGCGGCACTGGGCAGTAGGCGGGTGGGGGCAGCAGCGGGGGCACTGGGCAGCAAGCGGGCGCACTGGGTAGCAGCGGGCGGGCGCACTGTGCAGCAGCGGGCGGGCGGCACTGGGCAGCGGCGGCGGCACTGGGCAGCAGCGGGCGGGCGGCACTGGGCAGCAGCGGGGGCGGCACTGGGCAGCAGCGGCGCGGCGGCACTGGCAGCGGCGGGCGCAATGGGCAGCAGCGGGCGGGCACTGGGCAGCGGCGGGCAGCGGCGGACAGCAGCGGGTGGTACTGGGCAGCAGCGGGCGGCACTGGGCAGCAGCGGGTGGCACTGGGCAGTAGCGGGTGGTACTGGCAGCGGCGGGCGGCACTGGGCAGAGCGGGTGGCACTGGGCAGTAGCGGGTGGTACTGGGCAGCGGCGGGCGGCACTGGGCAAAGCGGGTGGCACTGGGCAGCGGCGGGCGGCACTGGGCAGCAGCGGGCGGCACTGGGCAGCAGCGGGGGGCACTGGGCAGCAGCGGGCGGGTGGCACTGGGCAGTAGCGGGCGGCACTGGGCAGCAGCGGGTTGGCGGCACTGGGCAGCGGCGGGCGGCGGGGCAGCAGCGGCGGGTGCACTGGGCAGCGGCGGGCGCACTGGCAGCAGTGGGCACTGGGCAGCAGCGGGCGGCACTGGGCAGTAGCGGGTGGTACTGGGCAGCAGCGGGGGCACTGGGCAGCAGCGGGCGGCACTGGGCAGCGCGGGCGGCACTGTGCAGCAGCGGGCGGGGGGCACTGGCAGCGGCGGCGGCACTGGGCAGCAGCGGGCGGGCGCACTGGGCAGCAGCGGGTGGCGGCACTGGGCAGCAGCGGGCGGGCGGCACTGGGCAGCGGCGGGCGGCAATGGGCAGCAGCGGGCGGCACTGGGCAGCGGCGGGCAGCGGCGGACAGCAGCGGGTGGTACTGGGCAGCAGCGGGCGGCACTGGCAGCAGCGGGTGGCACTGGGCAGTAGCGGGTGGTACTGGGCAGCGGCGGGCGGCACTGGGCAGCAGCGGGTGGCACTGGGCAGTAGCGGGTGGTACTGGGCAGCGGCGGGCGGCACTGGGCAACAGCGGGTGGCACTGGGCAGCGGCGGGCGGCACTGGGCAGCGGCGGGCGGCACTGGCAGCAGCAGCGGCACTGGGCAGCAGCGGGCGGCACTGGGCAGTAGCGGGTGGTACTGGGCAGCAGCGGGGGGCACTGGGCAGCAGCGGGCGGCACTGGGCAGCGGCGGGCGGCACTGGCAGCGGCGGGGGGCACTGGGCAGCGGCGGGCGCACTGGGCAGCGGCGGGCGCCACTGGGCAGCGCGGGCAGCAGCGGGCGGCACTGGGCAGCGGCGGCCGCCACTGGGCAGCAGCGGGCGGCACTGGGCGCAGCGGGCGGCACTGGGCAGCAGCGGGCGGTACTGGGCATCAGCGGGCGGCACTGGGCAGTAGCGGGCGGTACTGGGCAGTAGCGAGTGGCACTGGGCAGTAGCGGGCGGTACTGGGCAGTAGCGGGTGGCTCTGGGCCGTACCGGGCAGTATTTGGTTTTAAATTTATAAGAGAATAAGAGACAATGCGTTTATAGCTACCGGGTAGTACATTTACTAGCAATGGGTAGTACCGGCGATACCGGACAGTATTTCATATGAAATTTATAAGAGAAAAAAGACAAATAATGTGTTTATAGATACCGGGCAGCACTTTTATTAGTGCCGGGCGGTACGGTCAGTACTGGGAGGTACCGGCCAGTACCAGGCAGTATTTAGAATGAAATTTGTAAGAAAAAAAAGAGACGAATAATGCATTTATAGCTACTGGGCAGTAGATTAATTAGCACCAGGCTAATAATACTGCCTGGTACTGCCCTGTCGCCTACCCAAGAAAACACGCTCCTTGATAAAAGCTTTTGAACGAGTGGTCAACCATCTCTCTATTTCCGTCCTCGAGATTTTTGTTTCTAAATTTATGGTACCTCTTATGTATGTATGTATATACGTCCCAATAACGGTTGGGTGGGAACCCCCTTGTATATCAGCTTCACTTGGGCCGACTCCAATGAACCTTGCTACTCTTGAACATTGGCCTGACTAGGTTCAGATCCCAAAGTTTCATGTCTCTACCTGTTATGGAACCCTTTTTCTAGAACGCTCAAAACCCACTGTTTGGCATAAACGTGTATCTACACTGGCCCTGGTTTCAGATGGAAGTTCTTGGATCTGACTTTTCGTAGGTTTTTGCTATATGGCTATTGTTTGGGAGTGGATATGACTTAGTTTAAGTTGATTTGAGTTGATTGGGTGAATTTCTGGGGAAGGGGGGAGGAGGTTTGGGTTATGGGTATATATATGTGTATATATATATATATATATATATATATATATATATATATATATATATATATATATGCATATATCTTAAAATATATATACATATACATATATATATATATATATATATACATATATATACATATATATATACATTATATTAAATATATATACATATATATATATATATACATATATATATATATATACACACACACACACACACACACACACGTGTGCGTGTTTTTGTGTGTATTTATATATACTATGTATAAAGATTTCGTTCGATACAGCCATGTTTGTTGCTGTGTAGCCTACCCCTATTGCGCATTGTCTGGATCGCTCATAGTCACATACATCGTGTGACGTCATGCACGGTTGGTGGCGCGATGTCAATTATTTAGCAGACGACGGGCGCGGGGAATACAAAACGCCGAATTTTTGGTTGAATTACAATTGCCTTTCCAAAAATTTGACCTGGTATTGATTCTTTATGATTTAATGTATAATTATTCATGAACATGTAGGTAGAGACTGGACCTTCCCTTTAAAGAAAAAAAAAATCATCTTCAGCAGTTAGGTGATTTTGCGTTCTAAAAGGCAAAGAATCATTTTTTTTTTTCTGCATCTGTATATATATATATATATATATATATATATATATATATATATATAT